GATCCTCTCCTGTCATACTATTTGTGATAGCTACACATTTATGTAAGCGATTGTTTGCTGAATGTGTCTTCCCCGGCGTGCTGTAACTCACTTAAAAGTTTACATTTATTTATTTGTTTATTTATTGTGCCGCTCTGTGTATCAACATGTATACGGGTGTGCATGTGCTATGGTGTGAATATGGAGGTCGGAGGACAACTTTCAGGAGTCAGTTCTCTCACCACGTAGGTCCCAAGGATCAAACTCAGGTCATCAGGCTTTGCAGCAATTGCTCTCACCTGCTGTGTTACCTTGCTGGCCCTGTACACTCGCTTTGAGAGAGACCACAGTTCTTTTTTTGACTATATTCAGTGCCCAGTGCAGTTCTTAGTGCAGAATAGATGTTCAAAGTAAGTTTGTTCAATAACTATGACACTAAAAAATAAAACAGTGGGCTACAAGGCAGCACATGTGGTGGTTTTAGTCCACCCATACTGCTATAACAAATGTCCTGAGACTGTGTAATGGATAAAGAGCAGAAATTACTCTGGAACTCAGAGTTCCAGAATACAGGGTTAACATGCCAGTAGTTTTGGTGTTTGGTGAGGGCCCTGTGTCTGTTCTAAGGTGAAGCTTTGACTACTTCTTACTCCGGAGGGACTGATGTTATGCTTTACATGATAGATAGGACAGAAGGTCAAAAGGATGCTAAACTAATTCTCACCAGCTTTTTTTTTCTTTTATAAGGATAAGCCCCTATGATTTAATTATATTATCAAAGATCCCACTTCTATTTTTGTTTAAAACAGAGTCTCACTCTGTAGCCCTTTGCTGGTCAGATATTCACTCTGTAGCCCTTGGTGGCCAGATATTTACTCTATAGCCCAGGTTATCCTGCTTTAGTCTTCTAAGTGCTGGGATTGCAGATGTACAGGCACAATGCCTGGCTAAAACCCCCATAACCTTATTCTTATGGGTTGGGGTTAAGTTTCAATATAAATTTGAGAAAGGATACATTTAAACCATTGGAATAGGATTCTAATTTTTATTTTAAAAATGAAACCTCTTAGCTAGGCAGAATGATATCTGTCTGTAATCTCAGCATTCAAGAGGCTGAAGTACAGGGAATGACAGTTCAAGGATCGTCTGGGTCACTCTGTGAGGCCCTATCTCTAAAACAAGAAATATAAAAGCATGAGCTTTTTTCTCTCCCTGTCTGTTTCTAGAGAACACGGACCTGCAAGGAAAGGTAGCAAACACAGCTGGTATTTCTTGGAGGCAGAATTAAGAGTGAGGTGTTAACAGAACACTTGAATGTATTCTCCATATTTACACTGAACCTATACTATTTTATGACTGAACAATTTCTGAATGTATTTGGTAGAGCTTTTCCACTTAGAATAACTGTCTGTCTTGTTTTGCAAAGTAAAGGGGTTCCTAAGGAAGGTTGATGTATTAGTTACTGTTCTGTTGCTGTGATAAAATACCATGACCAAGACAGCTTAAAGAAGGAAAGGTTCACAGTTCCAGAGGGATAAGAGTCCATCATGGCTGGGGAGGCCTGGCAGGAGACAGCTCTAGCTGAAAGCTGAGAGCTCATATCTTTAAGCACTCCAAGGAAGCAGAAAGAGCAACTGGAAGTAGGGTAAGGCTATGCACTCTCAAAGCCCACCCCCAGTGACAAGCTTCCTTTAGCTAGGCCATACCTTCTAAATGTTCCATGATCTTTCCTAAACGACATCGTTTAGTGCTTAAATACTTGAGCCTCTGGGGGATGCTTCTCATTCAAACCACCATAGCTGGAAACTAAGTTTCACCATGATCATAAATTCCTTGATACCACACAAGGGTTACTGGAGAGGCCGCCTGCCTCCACATTAATAGGAGAGCAAAGAAAACAGAAAGCAGAGCCAGGACCCAATTACACATGCCTGTCACTGTGCAGCTGCCTCCTAAGCCAACTTTGAAGTTGGCTTTTCCTTTGCTTCTCTTGTTTTATACTTGTGGCTTGATTGCCCTCAGCTTCTAGACTGTTAATACTTTGAATTCTTATCATTTTGTCTTACTGTCTCTTTCTAAGTTGTTCTTCCCTGCTGTGAATGCAGGGCAGCTCTCCTGCGTCTTCTCTGTGCCTTTGATTATCTAAAGAGTAAAACTCCTAAGTCAAGCTGATCGAAAAGTCCCGATGAGGCATGACACAGAATCACATGCACAAGTTCAGAAACACCTAAGCTGAAACATTGGCTTTGGGCTTAGTTAACACACTTTGAGCCCCAAGCCCTCTGGGGTCTCCCCAGGGGCTCGTCTCTGCAGGGGAACATCTCCAGCTACTGGATCTCTGGGTCTTCCCTAAGGTGGACCTGCCTGTTGATAGCCTTGATATGGAGCCAGGAGTTCAAAAGAGAGCAGGCACGATGGAATAGGACTCAGGAATTCAAGGGGCCAAGGCAGGAGCAAGAAAAGTTCAGGGGCTGGGGTTGGATGTGGTGGCATACACTTTTAATCCCAGCACTGGGGAGGTAGAGGCAGGAGGATCTCTGTAAGTTCTAGGCCAGCCTCATCTACATTTTGAGTTTCAGACCAGTCAGGGCTACATAGTGAGGCCATCTCAAAAACATTGAAAAAAAAACATTAAAAAAGGAGGTTCAAGGCCTATCTGGGGCTACAGAGTGAGTTCAAAGCCAGCTTGAGTCCCTCTCAAAATAAAAAGTAAAAAGAAGGGTGAGGATGTAGCTCAGTGGCAGAGCTCTTGCCTTGTGCGTGTGAGGTCCTAGGCTCGATCCTCAATACTGAAAAGAAAGGAGGGAAGGAAAGATAGGACAGAAAAACCAAACTAAAAGCTGCAATCGGGCATCCCAGAACACACTGCTTCTCCCTGCTGTGATGTGCTGATGCTTCTCAGGAATCAGCCTGGATCCTGATGCCTTCATTCTGGCTCACCTCTGCTTCTTACTAGCTGAGCCTGCTTTGATCTTGCCACCTCAGAGCCTGAGGCAGCTCATCTGTATAGCAGTACCCTGGGCTCAGCGCCTCCATTCACGTTTTGATGGCAGATAAGATAACCTACTCAAAGTGTTTAGCTGACTGCAGGCTTCCTTCTTAGGGTGACTTTGGGTGTGCTTTGAGAATGTGGAGAGAAGCCACCTAGACAGCAGAAGCCCAAGGCAGTGTCCACTCCTCACCTCAGCAGGGTCAGAAGGAAGGCAAAGAGCTTGTGGTTTCTGTTAACCTCTAATCCCACCGTCTCCTACAGGGGCCATGTGCTGAGGGAACTTTCTCCCATTTTAATGATTGACCTAACTAAGTCTTAAGGCAAGGGCACTGAGATTTCTTTAGCTTCAAAGCTCATCTTTAGCAATTCTGTCTCTTTCCCACTATCAACAAAAACTTTCAAACAGAAGGCTCTGGGTGCTTTGCAATGGGCTCAGCAAGGTGAGTGGTATAGAGCAGGCCCTGCAGTGAAGTGAAGAAGGGAGCCCGCAGGGAAGAGAAGCACAATGGTTACTCTAGTTAGGTAAACCCAAAAAGCCAGCACAGGGAGGGAACACCGCCTGGGGACCAGAGTAGGATTTACAAAGCAAATTTCTGCGGTTCCCTCCTTTTTCAGCAGGCAAAACTACTCTGGCCGGTGTTTAACTGTTGTCAAATAATCTTCTTCCACACCTCTGTAAATGTCACACACCAGGTTGAATGGATTGTCAGACTATATGGCAACTGACCAGGGGATGTAGAGGCAGCCTGCTTTGTGGGAATTCTGATGTTGGAAGCTGTTGCCTCCTGGGTACCTTTAGTTTGATCTCCGGGGTCCCATTCCCACCTAAGATGCTCTGGCACTTAACTCCAGCCACAGAGGTCTTTGGTGTCTGTCCAAAAGGACAACTCCTTTCCTTTAGAGCACTGGCTTGTCTTTCTGGGTCTCCTGTCACCTCCCCATGGGGTAGCCTACTTGGCTAACATAGTAGTTGCCCTGTGTCTAACCCAGTAACAGGGGTCTCCTTAGCATTCACTGGGCTTTGCTGCAATGTATTCACTTGTTTATTATGTGCTCTCCCACAAGAGACTGTGAGCTCCAGGAGGAAGACACCCAGTGTGTGCTCAGTTCTGTCCCCAGGGTTCCCCCTATAGGGCCTGCACAAAGGAAAAAGGACAAACATTTGTGGCAGGAATACAGGAGTGGAGTTCTCTGTGTTCCTGTCCAGGGGGTCCTGGAGAGGACTTCCACTTATATGCCGGCCTAAGAGCCTTCCAGGAAAAAAAATCAGCCTTTTTAGAATCATTGTGTCTCTTTAGGTTAAAAAGCAGGAACCAGTCCACATTCACAAAAGGAACTTGCTGCTCAAAAACTCTGCTTACAGCTCTGGGGGTGGAGAATCCAAGCTGTACAGATGAAGGAGTCTAGGCTTAAAAATCAAGGGCAGGAGAAATAAGTGGAAAAGTCAAGCTCCCACACCATAAAACTTAGAGAACTTCAAAAGGGGGCCTGTTTAAAATGACCTATGTTCTTGGATTACAAGGTATAGTCAAAACAAACTGAAATGGGGCGGGGGCGTGAAAAAATTCACGTTTCTACTCTCAGAGCTGCCCTCTCTACGAGGTTCAGGACCAGACAGCCTTCAACAGGTGTAAAGGGAAAAAAGGATCTTTGCCAGGTCCAGGAACGTCTGTCCAGGGCATGAAGTATTCATTCCCGGGACAGAATCAGGGAAGCGGACGTCTTTCTCCCGGTGGGAAGTCCAGCGGGGTTCTGGCTCAGGAGCTGTGGGCTGCAGGTGCTGCCCAGTGCCCAGGCATGCGCAGGTGCATTGGCATCCGCAGGAGCCAGCACCCAGCCGGGCTCGGCGAGCAGAGGCCAAGGGGCTGGCCGAAATGCGAGGGCGGGGCGGGAGCTGGAGAGTGCGGAAAGTGCCGAGGAGGAGAAAGGGAGGGGAGGAAGGGAAGAAGGAGGAGTGCCAGGAGGAGGCCGGTGAAGAAGAGGAGGAATACAGGCGGAGAGGGCAGGGAGGAAGGATCTGGGGAGGAGCGCAGGGGAGGAGCGGAGCCTCGCGGGGAGGAGTCTGCAAACTTTCAGTTCAAGGGCATTGTGGGAAGCAGCCATGGTCTGAGACTGGCGCCTCACCTGTCAGCCTCAGGGGCTGCTGTGCTCGCCTCTGGCCCCTGCGTCGCCCGCGATCGTGATCGCAGCTCTCAGGACAGGGGCAGCGGCTGCGGCCACCATGGTGAGTGCGGGTGCTCATCCCGGGGGCACCCGCCGGGGCGATGCCGAGCGCGCTCCCGGGGACACCTGCGGCTCCAGGGCCGGGCCGGGAGGGGGTGTGGACCGAGCCTTGCTCGGGCCCCCGGAGTCACGCTCGCAGGTGGCCCTGATGCATAGCACAGTGCAGAGTTTCGGGGGGTGCGGAGACCCCTAGCTGCGATTCCCGCGGCTACCGGGCGCCCGGACTCCATTCATTCCCATCACCTTCCTTGCGCGCTTAGACTGTGCCAGGCTCGGTGCCAAGCGCGGAGCTGTCGCAGGGGACCAGGCGGAGCCCCTGTGCTCAGGGAGCTTACACTCTTAGCAGAGGACGCGGAGGGAAGACAGGTTAAAGTAAAGATTAACTCCCGAGCCTAGGGAGAGCTCCAAAGCTTCAAACAGCCGGCAGAGAAGCAACTTTTGATTTAGTGGCCTCTTTTGAGGAGGTGACATTTGATCTTTAGGAAATTCTAGAGGGGGCGCTGCTGGTAGAGGGGTGTGCAGAGGCAAGCAGGGAAAGGAAACTCTGGCTTCTGGTGGGAGAGGCGGGCGTTTCCAGATAAGGCAGGTCATCAAACGCCAAAGAAAAGTTTTGGTTTTTGTTTCACCCGTTTTAGCAAGAAAACCGACTTTATCTGTTCAGTGCTTTAAGGAGAGCTCTGGCTGATGATAGAGAATGGGCTGTGTGTGTTGAGGGCGGGAGGGGGGGCGGTGTCAAGATGGAACCAGGAGAGGAAAGTGGGTGTCCTGCTCGGCTGGGAGCAACACCTCAGGCTCCTCTTGCTTTATGTTGGAGCAGCTTTCTGGGATGGCATTCCCCTGAACTGTAATTCTTCAAGCTCACTCACTTCCCAAATTCAAAGAAGAGAAGTGACTTCCTGCGGGAATCAGCAGGCGGTCTCTGGATGGACTAAGAAAGGTGATTGATGAGGAGAGAGGTCCAGTGCTGCATACCCCTGGCAAGGAGCCCCAGCAAGTGAGTGAGGCTCATGGTTGTCCTTTTTGTTTGTTGAGGGTTCCTGCTAAATGCATTGGGAAAAGGCAGCTGTAAATAATGGAGCAGCTCTCCTGGCTTGCTCAAGTTTCTCAAGGAACAAGGTGACAGTGTGCCCAGGCAGCCAGCTCATTTGCCTAGTGGAGGTGGAATGGGGCCTGAGTTTCTGGGTAGTCCAAACATGCTGCTTCTGTGGCCTAGGGCAGGATCCGAGGGAAGGACCTAGAGTTCTAGACAATTCCTGGTGGGAGTTTGTTTTTCTTGCCCATGTCAAGTGATAGAAGTGTGGGACTTTCTCCAGCTTTCCAACCTGGCCTTCCCAATGGGAAGTAGTGTTACTGAGCACCCTAGATAAGCTAGCTCCTCACCTCCATCTACTCCATCTACCCGAGCAGCCTCCGAACCAGGCTGTCAGCCCTTTGACCTCTCTGGGTTTGTTCATTTGTTCAATGGGGATAGTATCTACTCCTAAGTGATCTGGTGGGTGTTCTGAAAGTGTGGCCTGGGTACTTCATGGAATCCTCAAGCCCTTCTCTAGAGGTCTGCAAGATTAAAGCCATTTTCACAGCAGCAGTAATTCTTGTTCTTTCGAGACTAAAATGAAGTTTTCTTGAACTTGAATGACTTGAAATAATATTAGCACAACAAATCAAATTCAGAAGTAGACAGGGGCATCCGCTGTCCGTTATTAGTCCAGATTAGGAAGATTCGCAAAAATGTAGCACAGTGCTGCTCTCCAATTTCCTTCCTCTTCTTTTCTTTTCTTTTTGCTCTTTTCTTTTGCCTGCCCTCCCTCCCTCCCTCCCTCCCTCTCTTCCTTCTTTCCTTCCTTCCATCCTTCCTTCCTTCGTTTTTAGACTGTTACACTCCATAAGCCTGACTGACCTCAAATTTGTGGCGATCCTCCCACCTCAGCTTCCCAGGTACTGACATTACAATCACAACCTGCCACACTCAGCTCACTAATTTCTTTTTCTTTGGAAAATATTGTTACTGGTTCTAAAAATGTTATTTATGTTGTTGCTGTATAATAGGTTTATTATTTTTTAAAGAAATAGTGAATACCTGAAATGATTTTTCTATTTTATTTTCTAATACAGTAAATATCAACAGCTATAACCTATGTAAACAAAAAGGTATTTGGGATTCTTGTTTTTTAAAAAAATTTATTACATTTTATTTTGTGTGTGTGTGTGTGTGTGTGTGTGTGTGTGTGTGTATTGTGTGTGTGCCAAGGTGTGAGTGGAGGTTTGAGGATGACTTTTGGGAGTTGGTTGTCTCTTTGCACCATCTGGGTCATGGGTATTGAACACAGGCTAGGAGGGTAGTGCCTTCACCTGTTGAGCCTGTTCACTAGCCTGGGTTCTGGTTTTTAGTGTCTTGTCCTAGAGGCTTGTGACCATTGTTGTGGAGATGTGGCACTATCATGAGCAAGCTCACAAATGCTCTAAGCAGCTCTGCCCTTGTAAGTGCTCACCTTCATTTCATCTCTCCTGTTCTGCTGTGAGGGGCAGGAAAGGGTGAGTGGGCTGCCAGCCCCACTGCCCAGTAGCCCTGGTGCTCTGCCTTTGCTGTTGACAGCTGATGACTCCCTCTTTTCCTCCTGTCTTCATTTCTAGATCCCATCTCCCTGACTCTCAGAAGATGCTTACCAAAAGTCACAAAAAGTGGTTATCCCTGCCTCTGTGCTGTTTTCTATGGGTAGGGGGGCACCCTACCCAGCCTGTTTGCATCTGGATCCTGATGTTTGAGTCAACTGTGTGCTTTATCTTGTCTCTGTGTTTGAAATCTCTACCTTGAAAAACAATGCTAGGCCTGATGCGCTTCAGGAATCCCACACCTGCCTTGTGTTTTCAAAATCTTATCTGTAGGAATTTACTGTTGAATGCTTGACGGAGTTGATGGAGGAGGGTTTTGTGGGTATTGTTCCTTCATTTGTTTTTACCTTAAGATAGCTCTGGGAACAGCTGGGGTGATAGCTAGGGGCTTTGGGGACACCTTTAATAAAAATGTGAGTGCACTTTGGTTTATGATATCCACATGCTTCTGAAAGTTGAGATAACTCATAAAGCCACCTTCTGAACAACATACTGTTATCACCATTAAGGAAACGCTAAAGGAGACCCCTGTGAAAATACAGTTTTATGTTATAAATTCAGTTCTCATGTTTGGTACTTGTATAGAGTGTGATAGACGCATATCCAAAAATATCCAAAGGTTTTGTGTTTCTAATTTTTTTTTTTCAGTTTTTTTGAGTCCCGAGGGCCCTGGATCTGGCTGTGTAGACTGAACTGGCCTTATGTTTGCAGCAATCCTCCCGCCTCTGCTTCTTGAGTGCTGGGATTACAGATGGTGCTACCATGCCTGCCTTGTGTTTGTGGTTTTAAATACGAGCGAGAACTTGCGAACTGAACTGTAAAGCCATTTCTTTCTTTGAATTTTTTTTCAATATATATTGTTATTGAATTTTTATGCATTTAATATAATACACCTTAATCATGTTTAGGCCCTTCTCCCCTATCTGCACCCCTTTGTAGCCCCCCCCCACCGGATTTCACATATTCCATCATATTTGTTGAGGCCTATTGAGTCAAGTTTGTGTCCCCAGATGTTCCTTGGTGTGAGTTCATCCACTGGAGCCTGGTCAGCCTATCTAGAATCACTCCCTTACAGAAAATCAACTGTCCTTTCCTGAGAGCAGTGATCAGCTGCAAATAGTTCCTTGGCAAAGGTTAGGGCTGCTTGCCCATTTCCCCTTTTCTATGGTGGGTTTTTGTCTGGTTTGAGCTTTCCTGGGTCTTGTGCATGCTGTTACCATTGCTGTAAGTTCATATGAGCAAGTTCCCAGAAGCCTGGAAAAGTGTTTCCTAAGCTCACCTACTACCTCTGGCTCTTACAGTCTTTCCACATAAAGCCATTTCTTTATCAGATTGACATTTGTTTGAAACAGCTACGTGAGCCCTTCTCCTAAATCAGATTGAAAAAGAAGCTCCCCCTGTTTGTGCAGAGCATGAGGAAGAAGAAAGGAACCCTGATCCTGTGGACCACGCCACTCTCCCGCTCCGTGATAGAGCAATTTTATTGTCTGAGACTTAGATAAATTGAAATAAGTCTGGAGATGTTTTGGCAATTTAAATACAGCTTGAGGGGATGGAACCCATTAAAGCAATGAGTACTTTCCTTATTGAGGCTTGGTCTGAGCTGTTGGCCAGCAGTTAGTGGAGGGTGGGGGTGGAGTGGGGGGCTTGGGAGGAGTTGGAAGAATGGTCCTAGGAGGGACACAGTTGCCCCCTCACCTACAGTGGGCCTCTCCTATATGTCTCTCACACCATTGCTAAGGCTGGCCTTTAGCCCTCCACACAGAAATCATTACTTCTCAGCTCTTTTCTTTTTGTGGTGAATACTGTCGTCTGCTTACAAGTTTTATGTGGTGTTTTACTAGCTGGACAGAATCTGTGCACTGTGGGTTTGCCACACTGTGTGATCAATAATGTCTGTTCTTTAGGAGTTTGTGAATTATTTCATTTTGAGATAGGACATACTTGATAAAATTACTCTCCCCTCTACGTACACACACACACACACACACACACACACGCACGCACACACACACACACAAATAAAATTCCTTTAAGAGTCTCCAGAGGCATGCACTTCCTGACATCCCTCGAGTCATTTTTCCAGTTTTTATCTTCTTGTTACTGTAGCCAGAGCTTCTCGCAGAGACCAAGACCACCCTGTGGTTTCTTCCCTGGCCCCATTTTTATTTCTCTCACAGAATCTTCTTTTCTGGTAGGTCTTGTCCCTCCTGATAATTCTTCTTTATGGAGTTCCTGGTTCTTTTTGAAATATCCTAGCCACTTACCCAGGAAAACTCTCTTTAAACAACTTGAAGTTCCCAGATTCTGTGACTTGACTTAAAAAACAACGGGGAAGGGGGGAGGGCTGGGAGAGATGGCTCAGTGGTTAAGAACACTGGCTGTTCTTGC